CTTTGCAACCAATTAATACATTTTAATTTATAATGAGATCAGCATATTACTGTGTCTATGGTGTGTCAATGTCCAATGTCCATTCTGGCAGACATGACTGAAAACTCTTTTGAAGAAGGAAAATGTAGTGTATAGCTCATCAACACTATCAGAAAAAAGTAACAGGTACAGGTTCTGCCTCTTGCAGGGGTGAATAGGGTTTCAATCACACACCTCAGAATCACAAAATGCATCTCTATTTTGCTGCACTTTCTGATGGTGCAGTGAGGTGGGCAGCTATCCTCTATGTAAATAGTCTACAATGCCCCCAAAATAATATACTAATAGTGGGTGATATAAGCATTCTGAGAAAGAGTCACAAACTCCAACCGCTTGAGCTGAAAACATCTCCTTGGACAGATGCAGCAATAGACTTGCAAGCTTAAGATACATTCAATTGAATTTCTGTACAAAGCAAGCAACAAAAACCATGCAAACGAGTCTTCCCAAAATTAAAATCTGTATTTCCAACCTAGAATCTCTTTCTGTATATAATTTAAGAAAAACAGAATGTTTAAAACCCCCAAATTAGCTCTATTATTTGTGTTTTCCATCAAGTCCTGTTAATAATATTGTTGTTATGAAAATTATTAGAGCTAGCTTAAATAGAAAAGATCAAAAAGTTTAAGAATCTTTTTCAGGTCTGATGAGAGGGAGGAATTCTGTTAAACTCTCAAAACTGGTGATTTGGTTTCTTTGGTTTGAGTTTTTCAAGTTATTTTTAGGTGCTTTCTGCATACACACCTTGGGCAGCAGTTTGTTCTGCAGCTCAGGAAATTTTGAAAAGCTAAAGCTGTAGCTCTGTCAGGGCAGGTGATTTAGAAATATAGAAAGTACCCTTTTCTTGTCTACTAAAACCCAATCAACTGTGATTTTTTCAGTGCAAGAGTTTATAATTAAGGGTTAAACATCTTTTTTCTCTTTCATGAGTATCACATAAAAATTTTCACCTAAGCTCCTTATTTTGTCCAGAAGTATTAATACCTTGCAGCACAGATTAGGTCTAAACTTATGATACTAATTTAAGATATTTGGACTCACTGGAGGCTTAAATGGTCAATTCTGAGGACTATCATTAGGACCTATCTTCTGTTCAGTAAATATATAGATTTACCCAATTCCTGCCTTGAACATCTAAATCACACAACTCAGGGCGCTTAAAGTTAGTGCAAAACTCAAAAAAACAAGTGCAGATAAGTGTAGAAAGACTGTTAGTAAAACAGATACATTGTAGAATTGATGAGTGCACACAGGGGCATTCATTCTCACATAAAACTCAAAATCATGTTTGTATAAAGTTTTAAAATTTTTTCTCATATTCACTTGGATCAATTCTCTCCTGAAAACCCTTCAGCTATATTTGGCGATCCAAATTTGTTACTGTAACACTTCTGTATCTTACAATTCTGACTATTGCAAATCACAAACCCTTTAATATCTGCAAAAAATTCCATTGTTCCATTTTTTTACTATTGTTTCAGCCACACTCCGAATAATGCTGAATTAACAAATTTTATTATAGTTCATAATTTTATCAATCTATGCATTTTTAAAACATCGTTTTTATTGATCTAAGTGCTGTGACAAGTTTATTTTTTCCAACAGAGATACAAGTTTTGTCATCCTGAGCAGTGAATAAATTCAGAAGCAAACCCATTCTTTTTGCCACTAACATAAGCAGACTGAGCAAAACTTAGTCGATGTGTGAAAATAACCAATTCCCTCATTTTTTTAAATTTACATCATGACTGGCCACAGAGTCTTATAAATCAAAAAATATTAAATTAAATAAGGTTAAAAAAAACCTATCTAAATGTAAACTCACCTCTCTTATTGGGAAAAAAAAAAGACATATAAAACAGGTATTTAGTCCAGCTAAATGAGCCATTTGCCCAAGACTGGACCAATCTATGTTGTCATGTTTTATTATTTCTATAAAAACTTCATGCACAAGCTTTTATTAAGGATGAAGACATAACTGCAGCAGACATTAGACACAAAGGGGAAAAAAAAAATTCACTAATATAAGCAATCTCACAATCAAAGAAGTTAGAAACTAGGCTGTTGCACAACTTACTGTGCATTTGTCGGCACCAGAGAAACAGGTAACAAATCAGTTACTGATTTTAGAGATAATTCATATTGAAAAATTACTGCTGAAATCACATGACTTCACTACACATTCAAAGAGTAAATGCCTCAAAAACTGTTCCCATTAGCATCCCTTAAAAAACTGGTCAAGTTTTAAGTTATTTCTGTAGACAAGATGATGTTACTTGCAATGAATATGTCTTACACAGTTGTCTCTGCCTACGTTCCATAGGTTAGTTTTAAGATGCTGACAGGTGAAATACCAACCTTTTTTGAAATATAGGAGACAAATCCTTCAGTTAGAATTGAAACTAATATACAGAACATAGGCAGAGACACAGACAGTGAATTTTATCTTCATGTTTAAGGATTAATATTCCTTTATCTTAGTAATTAACCTTTTTTAATAAGATTAAATATTTAAAGGGGCAAGAAGGAGAAAAATTACTCATTAATCTTTAAACACCATCTGAACTATTTGAGCAAGTATAATAGTTTTTCTCTAGTGTTTCTAACCTTTTAAGTTTCTGTCAAAATTTAAATTCTAGACTGACATCATCCATTTCAGAATAATTTCTATGTCCTGTAAAACCCTTAAGGTTGGTGGAGAGAAACTTCAAAAGTTTACTAACTGTAAAGTGAAAGGTGACAAACTGGGAAAACAGATGAAAGTGCAAGAAACAGTAAAGTCAGTCAGAGATTTTGTCTGAAGGATTTTGTCTGAAGATTGTGTCAGGAGAGGAAGAGGAAAGAAAAAAATAATGGAAAGCTAGAAAGTTTAAAATAATAAAAAAAAAAAACTAATCAAAACAAACAGAATTTCAGGAAAAAACTGAGTGACAGAAGTCTTAGGGGAAAAATACAAGCAAAGTACATAAACATAGATTTGGTTTGGTTTTGGGGATTTTTATAGTAAAGTTTAATTTATTTATTTTTTGACTCTGATTTACTGGTGGTTTGGCTGGTTTTAGCTGAAATATTTGCATATTTCCTCTTTCTTTTTCATCTTCTGGTGACCAAAAAAAAATCTCCAAAACAACCCTCAACAGTTTCTGGAAAGATAGACCTACACACACACACACACACACTTTAGAAATGTGACAGGGGCAGTGGTCAAAGTGGGTACACTCAAAAATACTAAATTTATATAACAAATTAATTCAGACAAACACATGACATGACACTCAGGTGAAATGCAATGCAATGTGATACACAATACAGAGAAACTATCCAAAGTCCTAAGAGAGCATTTTCCTCTGAGAAGAGATTGCTGCCATCAGTGATGCAAACTAGATTACTTTATTAAGGCACACAAGAATTAGTCCTAATCAAATAGACTTTTTTTATACTCTAAAAGAAGAGAATTTGTATGTCTCTCCACTTTCACTCTTGGCTCTGTTTATCCTGTCAAATGCTTCTCCTGGCACACACAAAAGGGAAAACAAAAGCAAAACACACAAAACCAATAGGGTAATTGCATATTATCTGCAATAAAATATTGGAGCAGCTGCAACCAAATTCCCAATGAGCGTTTCCCTCCCAGTTCATACCTTCAGCACCTTTAAGAGAAACTCTAACTCACAGCTGGACATTTGCTGATGCTCCATGCTTACATTGTCCTTGTAATATTCCCCTGTAAAAATGACTGACAGCCTCACCAGGAGTGGGATTTCCCACTTTTAATGTCTTGCTTAATTCATTTTCCAGGCCTGTTTTTCCTGGTTTCACCGGCTACTGACACAAACAACATAAACTGAGCCCACCAATTGGTATAGATCTCCACCACAAGACAGGAACATCTGACCTACAAAGACAGGCTGGAAGAGCTGGGATTGTTCAGACTGGAGAAGAGAAGGCTCCAGGGAAAACTCATTGCAGCTTTACAGTACTCAAAAGAAGGCTTATAAAAAGGAGGGAGAAGGACTTTTTATGCAGGTCGATAGTGACAGGACAACAGGCAATGGTTTTAAACTGAAAAAGAGCATGTTCAGATGAGATTCTTTACTCAGAAGGTGGTGAAACACTGAAATAGGGTGTCCAGAGAAGCTGTGAATATCCCATTCCTGGAAGTGCTCAAGGCCAGGTTGGATGGGGCCCTGAGCAACCTTATCTAGTGAGTGACATCCCTGCCCATGGAAACAGATGATCTTTAAGGTCCCTTCCAGCCCTAAGAATTCCATGATTTTATAACAATCAAAGCTTTGTAATTTAAAATACATAAACCCTTTGTAGGCCTATAAACAACCCCTTTCTTCTCCCATTAGAGCAGAACGCAAATACCCCTTTCAGAAGTATTACATTCTTGCTGTAGACAAGGCAAGGCAGAATGGCACACCTCTGTGCATGAACACATAAACACTTGAATGCCTGATGCAGTTATTTTTCATCTCTAACAGCAAGCCCTTTGAGTTATTTTTGCTAAGGCAGTAGTATAACACCAGGATGACAGCTGTTTAAATAAGTACCTAAAATACAACTGAATGAAAAATCTGCTATCAAATTTAATTCTCATCATTAACTACCAATTCAGACCTAGAGCACAATCTATGATAGGATGGCTTTGGGAGGGTTCTGAAAACTCATTTTTCGCCCAGACCACATTAGTATTCCAGAGGAAATAATGCCATAAAAAGCCCAGTAGTGCTGTCAGACAGCCTTGATGCAATTTGGGGCAAGCATGGTAGGAAGTCCTTGGGCACCAAAGCCAGCATATTGTGAAATGACAGCGTCAGGGAATTTACAGTATGTATTAAAAGTCAGATTACTTAATGAGGGGGAAACACTCAGGACTTCACCTTCTACTACACCAAAGCTTTTGCATGCACTCTGTGCACTACAGACTCTGAAGAATGAAGCAATGAAATTCTTACCTTGCATGGTTGCTTTTGTGGGTTCTGAAAACAGAGGAATGAGCAGGAGGTAGATGAGGTAGACAAAGGAGAGCCCATTGTAACGGAAAGCACAGGCTGCAATGAGAGAAAAGCAACATATTGTTTAATTTTTTTCAAAGATATTCAAGTTTAAAATAAATCTTAGAGTCAAAGGTTAGGTCAGGTTGGAAGGGACCAAAGTGTGTCATCTGGCCCAACCTCCCTGCTCAAGCAGGGTCATCACAGAGCACATTGCACAAGATTGTATCAAGAGGGTTCTTGAGTATCCCCAGTGAGGGAGACTTATATCAAAAAAGTCTTCTCTGCTATATCCAAAACAACCTGGTTTTGGAATACAGATACATCTTTAGCCCTGTATTCCAAAAGAAAAGAAGTTTCTCCAGACACAACTTCCTGAAATATCATGGAAACAATAGTGGGAATGAGCTAACAAGTTATGCATTAATTTGGCCTCATCCTCATCAAATCTGTCCACTTTAATTATAAAACAAAACTGCAAAGTCTCTATATTAGCAAATCCATATAATAGCTACAACTTTTGTTTCCCAAACCAGTCAATGTTTTGAATAACTGATTTGATTTCCTAATAACCTTGATAGAAAACTCTGGGTATATACTCCACATCTGCAGGTTGGCCAAGAAGCATGGGTGCCAAGAAATGCATGGGTGCCTAGCAAGCAGGAAGAGTAAGAAGCACCTATTTTCTGTTTCTGAACTGATATGATTCCATCATCAGCCTTAAAAATTTCTGTCAAGGACTAAAAAATCCACCAAAGCTTGATAGAGGGTTTTTCTGAGTGAAATCCAGAATCCTTAAGAGCAGCTCCTCATTTTCCTGTAAGAATTGCTCTTGCTTGTCACTTACTAAACTTTCCTTATAGCTACAGCCTTTAAAGGCCAGCTGAAGACTTTCACCTACATTTGTAACTATAAAAAGCCTGTAGGATAGAGTAAATAGGACCTATTCCAGGGGGAATTCTGCAAGCAATTATCAGAGCTCTAAAGTCAATGTACTTAAGAAGAGGGAGGCAGCTCTGCTATTACACACCTACTCTCAGGGTCCTCTACAGAGGAGCACAGGATGTACAACGGCCATTAGTGGCCTTCTTGGAAACAATGGCAAAGAGGACACTCCTGATATCAGGACAAATCCATAAATCAAACTTTTGGTTTTTTGGGTTTTTTTCAAATTTAATCTTGGGGTGGGAACAAGTTCTATGGCATTCATAGGAAGAGGTATGACACTGGATTAAGCCTGTTCTACAGCCTGAAGGCTTTTCCATTTCAATGGGAAGGACCAAGTTCTCAGTCATTCTGGTAGCAGAATAACATTAGCAAGTAGTACTATTATCCAGTTATTCTTGGGATTGTGTCAGCCAGATTTTATTTGTGTTAAACTGCTTACTTATTTTCAGTGCAATATTATGCTCATTTTCTTCTTTCTTGAGGACTGAGCTTGCTGCACTTCTCGTAGAGCACCGAGCACTCATTTTCCCAGTACATAGACAGAAAACAGCAACTGTGTGCTTTAAATGTCTTCCTTCATTAGCTGGAAGTCACTGAATGTCATGCTAAGAAGTCTGTGTCAAATATTTAGAACCTCAATTTATATCAAAGCCTCCTCCAGCAAACTTGGCTAGACACTGCCTGGAAAACCTGTAAGAGCTCAGTATTTTGAATTAAACCCCCCAAAACCTAGCTGCAACATTTTTACTATTCCCTACTGCAAATATTCCAATATTTCTATTTTGTGTTTATATCCACTCATCTGGTATATGTGTCTGGAGAGATGAGTGCCTTATCAAACTAAGGTGCAAGAGTAAAGACTGAATATAATTTTACTAAGATAAAAGATTAGGAAACAGCAGCTGCACTGCTTTCACATATTTACACCGCACTACAGTATTATTTTGCCAAACATACATATTCCTTAGTTCTGACACTCAAAACTATACAGAAAAAGTTTGAGCATAAAAACAACCTCAGCTTGTCACTGATGCAACAACAAAGGGCCCAAAAAAGCAAATTAACCCATCCTCTGCACTCCCTCTGGTATTCGCAGAGTTCTTCTGCAAAAGGAGCAGTACACAGACATCCAAAACATCTTAAATTGAATGTCCCATTTAAGATCACTGGAATTCCATCAACAGAAAAAGCACCTATAAAGATGAGTTTCCTGGCAAACCAAGTGGGATAGAAGTTTCTGGGTATTTTGGATACATTGGTCAGTTCACAGTATCAAAATTATCATAATTTTACCATTTTAGGCTTATTACTGCTTCTTAAAATTGTCGAATCAATTTGCAAAATTAATTTCAGGCGACTTCTTGAACTATACCTCAAAATTTACTGCTTTCTGTTCCTAGAGCTGTGTACTCAAAAGCTTTTTTCCTCTACTGCTACATAAACAGGACTGTTAACAGAGATTATATTTCCATTCAAACCTTTCCTTATGTATTTTTTCATATAAAGCATCCATAAAACCCTTTAGTTTCTCAGCTTTAAAAGGATGCGTTTGTCTACAGCAAACACTAAACAAAAAGGCTTAAACTGGAAAATATGTTCAAAGTCCATACACACTTTTTGCTCTTCAGGCTTTTTTTAAACTATATCTCACCAAGTTTTCTAACAGTCTCTATTGAGAAAAATTCAGAAATGTGATCTTCACCTGTGAAGTTCTGCTGTAGTTCACAGCCCAATAATAGCAATAATACACAATTTGGAAAATACATAAAAATCAGAGTCATTAATACATAGCATTAAAAGCAAATTAACTTTTATTTTGTATCACCTGAAGTACTTTGAAGTACTTCCCTTAGACAGAAAGAAAAGAGCACTTCATAAAATGTAAGACTGACTTCTCCATTCATAAGCAACTATTTAAAATATTTCAGTTTATATGTATAGAAAATAAAAGGTGTTGTACAAGCCTTTAAAGATTTTTATCATCTTTCACAGCAATGGACAGATTGATTTACAGCTAAAACATTTAATTCATCTTTAAGACAGGTATGTACAGTGTGTGCTATACAAAATTAAAAAGGAAACACAGACAAAAAAAACAAAACCAAAAAAAAAATCATAGATCACATGATAACATTGTACTTCTATAATTTATTTTTCATTGTTTTATGCTAGCCAAAGTAGGCCTTTGAAAAAATTTAATACTGCTTCATAGACACATCAGGTTTCTACACGTAGAATTCTAACATATGTTACATATTATTATTTCCTATTTCAACCAACAGTTTTCTTTCCTCCATTTAAAGAGAATAATATGCATAGAAACAGTGTTTTACCTGTTACATAAAAAATACTGGAGAGCAAAGTGAGGGACAATAAAGAAATTCACAATAAGCTTGAACTTGGAAAGAGGAGGGAAAAAAACAGCCTCATAAATCATGTGTTTAGTTTTATTCCACAAAAATTTTAAGAGTACTTAATTCAGAAGTGGAAACTACGTGTTCAGAAAAAACAGCCTTCAAGAGTGCCAAAGGGCACTGACTCCTCATTTGTGAACTAGAATTCTGTCAAAAGCCACAGCAACAGAAAATTAGAAGGAAGTGAAGACAGAATTAGCTATCCACTCACTATTTCTGAATTTAATTAGGAAAAAAGCACTGTCATTATTGTTGACACAATTATGTATTGCTTGTTATACCATTTTCTGTTCAAGAAATATGTAAAAATATCTCTGTCACATATTTCACATATTTCTACTGTAGGTTTGAGAATATTATGTATCTTTCTTAATGTTATCTTATCCAGAGTCTTGTGTGCTTTAACATGAGAAGAAATTCATTCAGCCAACTACACTGAAGTAATGTGTCTTCTACCTTCAGCAGGATATTGCATGGTGTTTGTATCCTGTTTAAACAACTTTATAGCTGCAAGATTAAGAAAGCTATGCAATGATATTCTTTAAGAAATGGTACATTTAGACTAAAATTTGGCCTTTCATGCTTATTTTTCCAGTAAGACAAAAATATATTTTCAGTGAAAATATTAATTGGTAAAGTGCTCCTGAAAAAAAATGCCTAACCCTGAGCAGGCCAGGGTTGTTGTCTAAAAGACAGAGGTGATGCTGTGATGCTGTTCACTCATTCTTATATCCAGCTGATCTGAAATAAGAGACCAAACCACAGAAAGGAAAAGGAATCAGCAGCTGAATGACCTTTGAAACTTCTCAGTCTCCAGGAGGCCAAGTATCCAACACTCAAAGCTAGGACAACTCAGCACCAGATTCCTGCCTGTAATGCTGTAATTTTTCTTAGTTATACCATGGTTAATATCCATTATATCCTCATTATTCTGAAAAAATCCCCAATTTCCATGCAATTCAGATGACTAAAACAGCTACAGATGTAGTAGCCTTTGCGTCTAGGTATAACATATGAATGAGCCACTGATACCCAGCCCAGATGAAAAGCTTCTGGTGCAAAAGCTCATCCTAAGTCAAATGCTGAAGCAAATCTATCTCCTCCTCCAAACCAAGGTGTTCTACATGACAAGTCATGAATGTGTGTGATGAGTTGTCAATTCCTCCAGGAAGAGATACAGTTGAGATCCCTCTTACCAATAAGGCACTGTCCTAATGTCATGATTATTTAGGCCTTTCCACTTGTGCTGCTCTCCAGTAAGACATTTACCAGCCAGTTCCCACATTCTCTGGAATATTCTAAATTGGTGAAGTTCTGGGGGCTTTTTGTTTGTTGGTTAGGTTTTTTTACCCTAGTCATCTTACAGACATCAAGAGCTGCACAACCAAGGCAAGTAGGTCCAGCATTAGGCCATATGGACGCAGTCTTCTGTCAGAGACTGAAATGTTATAATTTATGGCTTGAACATCTTCATTGTCTATTATAGCAAAATTGTACAAAAGCTGCAGAGAAAACCACCAAAAACCTGAGTGGAGCCCTACACTGCTCCTTTGACAGACTATGTGAACTATACAAGAGCTTGGTAAAGTAAGTAAATGTCAAAAGAGGTAAAAATTTAAATTCCCACCTCCATTAGCCAACCAGATAAGTACTTCCAACAATGTGATATAAAGAGGAAAGGTCAAAACTGCTGAG